GACGGTTCCAATAGGTTCTTATGATGATTTTGGACTTGGGCGTATGTTCGGATCGGGTTTTGAATGAACCGGGAGCGTTTCGGCGCCTAATAGTGAAAGTTGGCATTTTGAGCAAATTCCATAAGTTTGGGTTGAAATGGATTTTTACATTCTAGACGTCCGTTTGGGATTCTGAGCCTGAGAATAACTCGATTGGTGATTCTGGACTTGGAAGCGCGTCTGGCAGTGGATTCGGAGGTCCGTAGGTCGTTTTGGAGACATTTGGCAAAAGTTAGAAATTTGAAGTTTTGGAAAGTTTGACCGAGGGTGGACTTTTTGATATCGGATTCAGATTTCAGTTCCGGAAGTTGTAGTAGGTCCGTAATGTCATTTAAGACTTGCACGCAAAATTTGGCGTCATTCAGAGTTGATTTGATAGGAATCGGACACGCGAAAGTGTTTTTAGAAGTTTTTGAGTTCATGAGTAAATTCGTGCGTTTTGGCGTCCAATTCGTGGTTTTTGATGTTATTCCGGTGTTCCGATCGTGCGAGCAAGTTTGTATGATGTTGTTAGACTTGTGTGGGTGTTTGTGTGGAGCCCCGAGGGCTCGGGTGAGTTTCAAACGTTCGAAAGGAATGAAAACACATCAGTTTTCTGGTGTTTCTTGGTAGCAGTTGCAGGTCCCGCAAATGCGACAAATTGTTTGCAAATGCGAACCTCGCATTTGCGAGAAGGGCTTTGAAATTGCGAAGGAGCCCGACCTAGGAAGTGTTCGCATTTGCGACACATTTGCCGCATTTGCGGTCCCAGTAGAGTCCGCATTTGAGACTCTATGGTCGCATTTGCAACCTCAGTAGTTGAAGCCCAGGATTCGCATTTGCGACCCTCGCATTTGCGAACCTGGTGTCGCAAATGCGACATCCGAGGCATGTGCCCAGCTTATTTAATGTGGGACTTAGGCTATTTATCTCATTTCACTTCATCTCTTGGGCAATTTTTGGAGCTTTTGGAAGAGGGTTTTCACCTAGCACTTTGAGGTAAGTAATTTCTACACAACATGAGTTAAATACATAGATTATGGGTAGATTAACATGTAAAAATTAGTGAAAATCAAGGATTTAGATGAAAATCTAGTTTTTCATAAATGAGATTTGACCACGAAATTTGTTATGGAACTTAGTAAAAATCATATATTTATGTTCCTAAGGTTATGGGTAACAACTTTCTTCGAAAATTTCCGAAATCCGGGCACGTGGGCCCGGGGGCCTGGGGGTGAATTTTACGAATCTTGCATTTAGGGTTGGGTAGTCACTTTAATAATGGGGATATGAACTTTTGAGCATAAATTGATTAATTTATATAATATTTGACTAGTTTCGAGTCGTTGGGCACCAAATTTGGAGGTTTGAGCATATTTTTGAACCGGGAAATAGGCTTTGAGACGAGGTAAGTCTCTATTCTAACCTTGTAAGAGGGAATTAACCCCATAGGTGAATTAAATAAATGTGTGTACCTATTTGGGGTGGGGGTGGGGAGGGAAGCTACGTACGTACGACGTGACGAGAGTCTGTACGTAGCTACTATTATGCTATTGTCCGAGTAGTCTAAGACCCGTACCATGCTTTATTTGAAATGTTTGCACCCCTACTTGTTGATTTAATTGCTCAAGTCATAACGGAAGTTGATAAAAGAGTTGTAAAAGGAAAAGTTTACTTACTTGAAGTTACAAATGAGACATTTGACTATATATGAGAATATGTGTTTTATTTGAAATGTTTTCTATTTGTGGAGTGGGTCGAACGCCTCGGTAGAAGATAGATGCATTTATGGTTTGTGTCGTTCGACCCTCGGCAGTGCACAGTTTAAATACTATATTGATCGGGTCGTACGACCTCAGCATAATTTGCGCATGTTAATTCTTTGGAACTTCCTAATTGATATTGCTTAAATGTTTTGAAATGCAAGTTGTTAAATGATAAAACTGAACTTGAGATTTAATATTTGTGAGAGAAGAATTCACCATTTCCTGTTATTGAGCTTTCAACATTATTCATGAAAACCATGCTTAATATAAAGTTTTAATACATTATTGTTATCCCATAGTAAGTGTCAAAGTCGACCCCTCGTCACTACTTCTTCGAGGTTAGACCGAATACTTACTGGAAACATATTGCTTATGTACTCACAGTACACTTCTGTACTTAATTGTACAGGTTCTGAAGCGAGTGCATCTGGTTACCAGTCCGACGCGCATATTTGAGCCCGCTTCGAGACTACACGGTGAGTTGCCCTTCCGAGCCGTACTGCAGCAGCCGAAGTCTTCCTTTTGTTATATTTTTCTGTCTATTACATTTCAGACAGTAGACTAGTATTCTTTTGTATATTCTACTAGAATGCCCATACACTTGTGACACCAGGTCTTGGCACACACTAGTAGACTTATGATTTTGGGTTGTATTTCTACAGTTATAATTTTATTTAGGTGTTTTCGCTCTTGATTGCTTTAAAAATCCGTTATTTATTAAATCCTTTAAATTTAAGGAAGTTAGTTGTTTGAATAACTTAATAAAAATGGAAATCACTAGATAGTTCACTATTGGCCTCCCTAGCGACGGTGCTGGGCATCATCACGGCCTAAACTAGAATTGGGTCGTGACAATTGTGCGAGTATAATGTGATAGATAAGACCCTAGGCTTACAAAAGAATTTTTGGTTCATAGAAGTTCTAAACTTCATCAATTGTTCTATAAGCTTATCTTATTTTTTTCTAGGTCTGGTTCATAGTCTACGAGACACCAAATTTGATACGTTGTACTCATATGTAGAAAATCCAGCAAAATATTCTATCACTTTATTCCCTTTAAGATATGTGAGATATTGTTACAAAAATAGTGGATATGATATCTCAAAAGAAAGTATCCAGATTCATATTTTCTGAAAGTATCTAGATTCATTTTATCGAACATTTAGTGTCTTTATTATTTCATAGAATAATTGATCATTATTCCACATTTGTAACTGTTAGACCATTACTCACCCATCATTACCTCTTGATTTTCTTTACCTATATATGCACAGATTCTTCCCTTTTGTAGGAGCGACTAAGAATACATAAAATACTCTCCTTTCTTCCGCTGGATTTTTTACCAAGAATAGATCTTTGTTTAGTTTCTGCTCCTAGTTTTATACTAGAAGAGCTTGTTGAATCTTGAGGGATATACCCAAACCGGATGAAATATCCTTAAAGATAGCGTCTTTGTCACGCCTCAAGCTTTGAAGAATTCTCTACAAGTTTCGTGATCAAGTATTTTTCGTAAGATTTACAACAGAAATTCAGCTTAAAAGTTAAAAGTGTTGCCCATGGAGCAAGCAGGGGCAATGGACAGCACTTGTTAAATTGGAAGTTCTGCCCATAGGCCAAGTGGGGACAAAAATTTCAAGACCATCCACTTTAAAGGCTATTTGTGTACTTCGCCCAAATGTAAACTCAACAACCGTTTCAAAACTATTCAAACTTTAGCCCCTTTTGATACAAAAATTGAATCGTAAAATTTTCATGTGGTGCCCAGTTTTGTGCCACTCATTAAATTTGTATTCACTTTTTATAAAAAACTTAACCGATACCCAATTTTTGGATAACTTCAGATAACATACACTTTTTCCTTCTTCTTTACTGTTGTTTTCTTCTTCTTCTTCTTCTTAGTTGCAAAACAAGTTTGTTAAATTTGTTATTGTTTTGATAATTTGATGATTGAGATTCGTTCTTTATGATAAAAGTTATGTTTCAAATTTAAGCTCATTTGGAGTAAATTTGGGCATTGAATAATGTATTGGATGGTTGAAATTTGAAGACACAAGTTTATATTTCAGAACTTTAAGATTCGAAATATGAAGTTGCTTGCATTCAATAGATTGAACTGCTTAAGATTCGAATTTCTGAAGTTGCATTTGAAAGATAGAAGAACTTCAGATTTGATTTTTGAAGTTGCATTGAAGAGATTGAACTATTTCAGTTTCGAATTTTTGAAGTTGCATTTGAAAAATAGAAGAACTTCAGTTTTGATTTCTAAAGTTGTATTGAAGAGATTGAACTACTTCAAATTAGAGCGGGTACACTTTGTAAAATTTTGTGCAATGCTGGTATAACTTTAATGGTGGCCCCAAAAGTGGGTGTATATGAAAATGCCCCAAAAATACCCATAATTACATTATGGAAAAAAAAAACTCCAACACAATGTGCTAGAGTTCAAAACTTTTGCTAGTGAAACTCCAGTACATTAAGTTGGAAAAATCTCCCTACATGTGAAACTCCACTACAGTTTGATGGAGTTTTTAATTTTTACATGTAAAACTCTATCACGCTGTGATGGAGTTTTGAATTTTTACATGTGAAACTCCAATATATTGTATTGAAATTTCGTACTTTTACATGTGTTTGATGGAGTTTTTCAATGTTTTAGCTAGGGATATTTTTATCTAAATTTTATTTTCACATTGAAAAAGGGTAGTTTTCAATTACGTTCAACCAATTGTTAAATATTACTAACACGCCCAAAAAGTGGACAGCATGTGCCATTCTTACCTATATGCGAATATTTGACGGGCAACTTTTCAATGACCAACAAAAAGATAAATTGGTCACAGACCTGGATACTCTTTAAGTAGAATGAGGACTATTACTATTGCTTTATTATCTTTAGTTATGATCGGTGCTCTTTAAAGTTAGATTTCCTTAAAATACAGCGAAGACCAACGGCCATAAAACATGGTCCTGTCATTTACTTCGAGTTCTTCAGCCACTATCCATTTCACTATAATCATTGTATCAGGAATCAAAAAGTGTTCTCCCTTTTAACCCAAATGAAAAAAGAATCCAGGAGATAATTAAATAAACCCATCTTATTAAAGAAGTAACTCCGTCAATCAAAAATGGTATCATTCCTTAATTTCTCACATCTGAAAGAAGGCAACGAACCAAAATGGGGAAACAGAAACAAAAAAGTTGAAGCTCCAAAATGTATGACTGCCAAATGTGTTCCAATATAAAGCTACTTCATACAGGTGTACAAAATATTTTACAACCAATAGATTCCTGGAACCGCTGGCACTGCTTACACATCCACTTTAATTACTTAAAAAGTACAAAATTCAATGCATCTGCTTAATAACGCAGACAAGAGCTTGGATACACATGCCAATAAGATACAATAATTTAGCATCTGTATGATCTGTTATACACCAATTGTCAAACAGCTGCACAATAACGTCTTCCTGTCCCGTCACTAAGGGAGCCTTTAATATTTCCTGAAACCATACAACCTTTCTTGTAGCAATGAATTATGAACATATATGCTCTTAGCTTTTTAATAGGGGAACTATAATAGAAGCAGTTCAATTCTTAAAAAGACAAAGCATATATTATCATTCTGACCCACCAAAGCATTTGCTTGGCTGACAATGTTAAAAAGGAAAGACTAAGTGACTGTTAATGAAACAAGAAGAAACATTACCAGGAAGTTCAATAATAGTTGACATGAATAGAACCCAATCAAAAAATAATGAGACCTTACGCATAATCCTAGACCAGGATGGTATCTCCTGGAAAACATTGCAGAATTTGGAGAAAGAGTACCTGAGTGGTCAGTAAAGGTTTTATTGGCACAGCCAGTACCATCTCTATCTTCTTAATGCTGGCTTCCTCCTCCTTTCTGGGATGGTACCCTGGTCAGTTTGCTTGTGTTTCTGTACCATGTTATAAACCTGCATTAGAAGAAAATTGTTAGTCATCATTGGTTGGTTCGCCCATTCCCAGCCAAATGTTCAACAAACAAAAGCAGCAGAAAAGTAGGGTTATTGATCAAGAGAAATTCTTTATAGGCAGGACATCCAATAAATAGTACTCTTGGTTGCAATGTTGGCCATTGTACCAAGTGTTCGAAGGCTATACATCTCATAATCCTTAGATGGTAATAAGTGAAACTAATGTCGAACATCTGAACACTGTAGTAATGTTGTTTTTATACTAGCTAACTATGTTGCACTATGTTATAATTTGAACAGCCGGAAAAAAAGGAACACACGAGCTAAGCACGAAGTGACAAGATAACTTCATATATCAAGTATTTTATAATGGCTACTAAGACATATATTGGCATGATCCCACAGGTAAAGCTCTCGATAGGTGCATTATAGATTACAGCAACAACTATGCCTCAGTCCCAAACAAGTCCGGGGCTATATGAATCCTCACTTCTCCATTTAAGCTCAACTTATGTCATCATAGTACCAAATAAAATAGAAGTAAAAAATAAGTTAAATATATATAAATAATGATATTAATAATAACAATATTAGAAGTTTTCTAACAAGATTAAAACCTATTCTCAGGAAGGGGAGCCTTGGTGTAACTGGTAAAGTTGCTGCCATGTGACCAGGAGGTCACATGTTCAATTCGTGGAAACAGCCTCTTGCAAAAATGCAGGATAAGGCTGCGTACAATAGACCCTTGTGGTCTGACCCTTCCCCAGACTCTGCACATGGCGGGAGCTTAGTGCACCGGCTGCCCTACTAAAACCTATTCGCAACTAGTACAAATCACCTATATGGATTTTTTTACTCCATTGTGCGCTATCTCTAGCTAAGTTTGCAATGATTCCGTGAGTTTTAGGTCTTTCGAGAAACCTTCCTTCCATGTGATTTTGGGTCTATCCCGTCTCTTTTTTACACCTAAGTGCATTATAGATTAAAGAAAACAATTCAACTCAAGATGTGATTTGTCAAGTCATTCTGCAGTAGTAAGTAAGATGGTTTGCTGTTTCAGAAAAGTTCTTATTTCCTTATTTACAACTCACTTATGTGATCTATCACATTTCTTCATTATAACATTCAACCACACAGTAAAGGTGAGTAGATCCAAGTATACTTTGATTTTCAGCAGTACCTTTCTTACTCCAGATGTCAATCCCATGCTATCGAGGTTTTTACTATCGACATATTTCCATGTCATACTCTCTTTGTCCTGCTTTTTGTAGTCAATGCTTCTATTTCCTTCATGTCATCAGAAAGCACATGCAATTAAGTATATGAAAAAAGGTGCTACACCGTAAACATTTGAATCAGTAGCCAGAGGTAATAAGACAACGCATAGAATGCACCTTTTGGACGTAAGACCAGCAACTCTATGTACATCTTGAGGCGTATATGACTGAAGACATGGACATATTCTCCAATATATTCTCGTGAAACTATTCTAATAGATTCTTTAAGATCTAGATTGCATGATGACTGTAAAAATTTATCAATTGCTATTCTTCTCGAGGCCAAGTCTGCTTCCTTTTCCAAGAGAACTGATGGAAACTCCCAGAGGCCCGCAAGTAAACCATTATTTGGTCTTTTCACAAGAATAAATTTGCTGCTGGATTTAGGTCCTATCGTTTCCTGGCAATCCAGTATCTCTACAACACTAACAGCGGAAAACTCATGCCTTTGTTTGGCCTTCATAACTTTAATTGGGTAATCTGTAACATGAACTGATTCGTTCTGCCTAGAGAGTGATAAAGCATGACATTGAGCAGAGATGGGGCATGCAGCGCAACCTGGATTCGAAAGAGAGCACAACGTAGCCCCAAGTTCCATAAGAGCTTGGTTGAAATCTCCAGGCCTAAAAGGATCAACTAATTGCCCTGCAAGTTTCCTAATTCAAAAGGAAATAGATAACATGACACAGGATGGAAAATTCACTAAGAAATAAAGTAATATCCAAAATTGGGTAATTACTAATATCTGGCATGATCACTGCTTAAGGAAGATAACAATTTAGATTTGTTTCCGGAATATATTCGATAAGAAATAGAAAGAAAAGATAGGTAGAGAATGGAATATGATGCAGTTCTCTGTAGTGCTATGTTGCTCCAATCCTCCAAAACAATTGCCGCACCCATGTCAGATCCTAAAAAGTCATTTTAGGAGGATCTGACACACACCCGGCAGCATCTTCCAAGATCCGAGCAATATAGCTGTAGTGTATTGTTCTTCCAACTTGCTTACTAAGTAACTATTACAGTAAGAAAGCAACAAAAAACTGCATTATGCATCACAAAGACTCACCAAAAATTCTTAACTGTCGCTGCATCTTTTGGATTTGCAGATATAGCCTTCAGCCTAGAAATAACTCTGACCACATTTCCATCAACAACAGGCACTGCCTACAGTAATAACTTAGAACATGTGATAAGAGGAAGAGTGTATAAGTCAGTCAAAACTTTGCAAAAGCTATTGACCTTTTTGAAGGCGATTGAGGATATAGCACCAGCAGTATATTCACCAATTCCTTTGATGTTGCGAAGATCTGAAACTGTCTCCGGAAAAGTACCTCCTTGTTCGACAACCTCTTTTGCACCCTGAGAAAGCACAGATATCTATAATAAACAAACTAGATAATGAGTACTTCAGCAGAGTTGTATGCTAATTTGCATACTTTAGCAGTACTCTTTAAATCAGTTAACAATTATAGTTTCTCTACAAATATAGTTTGATGTTTTCATCTCTTAGTCTGCAAATTACTTTTCAACTCTCCAGCTGTGTTGTGCGACAGATGTAAAAACTTCTTTTTTTATTTCCAATATTTCGTAATTTTGACATGTTTTTACCTTTTTTTCTAATGTTAGGATGAGACTATTGACCAGAAAATTAAATAACCCACAGCAAAAACAGAAACCTCACCTCCAACAAAAACCGAGCTCGTCTATAGTATCCTAAACCTGCCCACATTTCATTCACCTCCTGCAAGGTAGATAAAAGAGAAAACTCCGAATTCAAGAAATTCCAAAAAGAAAAGAAGAAAAACATCAACAAGGTAAGCAGCTAAGTGTTACTACCTCAAGAGAAGCTTGAGCGAGATGATGAAGAGTAGGCCATTTATTCATCCACCGATTAAAATAGTCAATCACAGTTGAAACCCTAGTTTGCTGAAGCATTACTTCAGATACCCACACTGCATAACCCCTTTTCTCTCTCTCATCATCATCATCTTCTTCTTTAAATCCGCAACTGTTACTACTACTTATTCTTCGCCAAGGAAGGTCTCTTTGATTATTATCGTACCATTCCAATAGAGAAGCCCTAATTTGTAGGGCTTCGTCTTTGCTGAAACTGAAGTCCTCTATATCGCCGCTAGTTGGAACTTCAATTTTAGGTTTAGGTTTTGATTGTGTGGTACGGCGAGGTCTCTTCTTGGAGATGGCCGTTTTCTTCTCTGCTCCGGCGCCGATGGCGTCCATGGATGATAGAGAGTAGTGCCGATTGTGTTTTCCCGCTAAACAATGCGTTTGAAAGTGTAAGCAAATGGCTAGTTGCATACTTTTCCTTTTCAAAAAAATTTGGTGCCTTTTTCAATGTAATGTTAAATGAAAAAAGAAATTCAAAAAACAGTCCCCACGAGTACGTTTATTTTTATATTATTCTTCAAATTACGACTATTATTCTTTCCACTAAGGATTGATATTTTTAACCCTATCCTGTCCTAATTCTCCCATGTGTATTTTTTAGCCACTAATTTAGCATTGAAACATTCAACTGCTTCATTAACTTTTTGTTGACTTTATATTCCTTGCATGAGAATCTCACATGGTGCAAGTCTTGGATGAAAAATTTTATTTTGTGTCTCACAACTGAAAATAGTTATGTGAGGCCTCTTTTTTGTCTTACAACTATGTGGTCTCAGAATTTTGTGGACCCAGATATGTAAGAGATGGGTCCACAAATATGTGAGATAAAAAGAGTCCCCACACAACTAGTGTAAGTTGTGTGAGACACAAAATAAAATCACTCGTCTTACATCTATCTGTAACTCTTTGACGCAATTGATGTAGTTGACCTTATGCGTTAGCTAGGGGTGTTCATAAAAATTCAAAAGCGAACCAAACCGAAAACCAAACCAAACCGACCAAAAAAACCGATACTTTTTGGTTTGGTTTGCTTTTGGTTTTGAAATTTAAAAATCGATCAAATTTGGTTTGATTTTGGTTTTATTAAAAAAAAACCGAACCAAACCGAATATAGGCGTAGCTATTTTAAATTTATTATTACATCTATTATGTATACTTTTATACAAAGTTTCAAAATTTTTATAGTAAATGTTAATCGTTTGCGCTTTTAGTACAGTTCTTTACCTTTACATTCTAGTTTGATTGGTAGTTTTCTTTTGTTAAGTGTAAGAATCTATTTCATGTTAAAAATAATATATTTTTAATTGAGTCCTTAAATTATTCATCACTATTTGATTCAATTATCATCAATATATCTTGGTAAATAATAGATTTCTCAAAGGGCAATTGATTTCATAGTGTTACGTTGAAAATATGGTCGCCGAAATATGTGTTTGGTAGTGTATGTCTTATACTTAAGAAGAAACCGACAAATAACCGAAAAATCGAAAAACCGACATAAACCGAATCGAGAAAGAATCGACTTAATTGGTTTGGTTTGGTTCTAATATTTGAAAAACCGACTTACTTGGTTTGGTTTCTTTTTAGGAAAAAAATCGATCCAAACCGAACCATGAACGCCCATAGCGTTAGCATTGGCCAAATTCGTGTGTAGCGTAACAAGCTACCAAGAACAAGTGACTTAAAGAGAAAAAAAATTGACAAAAAGGGAAATTAGATTTTCATTAGCAAAAAGACAGATTTATACTAGTGTCCTGCAAGCTGTAACATTGTACTAGATCAATAATAATTAAACACATTTTTTTTTGTAATTAAAGTATTTTATTTACCAAGTAACAATATTTACAGTTCGTACTTCCTATTACAAGACCAAAACTCTAGCATACCTACTATTGGACATAAAGCCCCAGCTAGGAGATACCTATCTTTGGAACTTCTGCTACTTCTACAACTTAAACGCTACTTCATACTCTAATTTATTATAGGGCACCAATTCAAATTACTCATTGCTCTATCTAGATAAGGAAATTTGGCAGCCCTTATATGAACTTCCTGTATGATCGGTGGTAATATGGCATTACTTGTTCTCCTCTTCTTCTGAAAAATCACACTATTTCTTTCTTACCAAATATGGTAGACTGCAGCTGCTAGGATCATCCTATATACTGCTGCTCCTGCACTCTTTCCCTTGCTTACCTGTGTCCATGTCACTTCCTCCTGCCAAGCTTCCTTTGGTCTTTTTATACCTTGCCATTCCAGTAGTCTAAGCCATATCTTCTCTGTACCAGCAGTACTACGGAACCACCTCTCAAACACCACCACCTCCACCACCCAAACAAATCCCATGCCCTCCACCACCAGCTACTCCTGTATTTGTGGCTCCTCCACCAGCCGCCTTACACAGGTCCTCTAGCGAACCTTTGTTCCAAACCCATGATAACCAGTATTACCCGCCCGAAGCCACCTTCAAACCACCAGAACCATACTCTTACACTCCCCGTCTTGATCTCTCAGCTGAAGACGAGAAACCTCCCAAAAACCCTGAGCAAGAGGAAATGATACGAAAGGTCAAGAGCCTAGAGCAGTCATTCAGAAATATGCAGGGTCTCGGAGGTCAAGTGAGTGTAGCCTACAAGGATTTGTGCATGTTTCCCGATGTCCAGTTGCCAGCAGGATTCAAGCTACCCAAGTTTGACTTATATGATGGACATGGTGATCCGATGGCCCATTTAAGGGGGTTCTGCAGCAAAATGAGAGTAGCTGGAGGAAGGGACGAGTTATTAATGGCTTACTTCAGTCAAAGTCTAAGTGGAGCAGCTTGGAGTGGTACACACGACATGATCATGCTCGATGGTACACTTGGGATGATTTGGCCCAAGCATTTGCATGTCATTTTCAGTATAATCTCGAAATTGTCCCGGACCGTCTGTCACTGACTAAAATTGAGAAGAAGCCCAGAGAAAGCTTCAGAGAGTACGGTTTTCGATGGAGAGAGCAGGCGGCAAGAGTCGATCCTCCAATGAAAGAGAGCGAGATGGTTGATTATTTCCTACAGGCTTTGGAACCCACCTACTATGGTCACTTGGTGTCAGCAGTGGGGAAAACTTTCAACGAGGTAGTGAAAATGGGAAGTATGGTGGAAGAGGGGCTTAAGTCCAACAAGATTATGAGCTATTCGGCAATCAAAGCAACTACCCAGGCTATTCAGAGCGGCACTGGAGGGGTATTGGGAAAGAAAAAGAAAGAAGATGTTGCAGTAGTGGAATCGAGAGCTTGGTCCAGGAGTCCATCACCATATTATCACCAACCTCGACCTCATCCCCAAACCTACCCACACACCCCATATGGCCCACCGCAACACTACTACCCACCTCCTGTCCCCCATTTCTCTGTCCACCATGCCCAAACATACCCCCAACCTCCTACCCATGCACAATGGCGCGCACCCACCCCACAAAATACTTACCCAGCTCAAAGCACCTACCCACCCCCGAGAGCCAACAGAAACCCCACTGGAACCGGTTTTCGACCCAACCCTGCATCTAAAAATGATAGGCTGCAGAAGAAAAAGACTTTCACTCCATTGGGTGAATCTTACACCAGCTTATGCCAGAGATTGAGACAGTTGGGCATGTTGAGTCCGATTGAACCCAAATTGCCAAATCCTCCCCCAAGGAATCTGGACCACTCTGTGAGTTGCGAGTATTGCTCAGGTGCTCCGGGACATGACACAGAAAAATGCTGGCATTTGAAAACGGCCATCCAGGAGCTCATTGACACCCGCCGAATTGAAGTGCAAGCCCCAGAGACGCCTAACATCACTCAGAATCCATTACCAACCCATCACGAGACCCATATGATTGAGTTAGTACAAAAGGGAGAGCATAAGAAGCCTTCACAAACTGTAATGATGATCAAGGCTAGTGAGGACAGATCAAATGAAAAACCAACAAGTGGGAGAGCATCGATCAAGGTAGAAAAGATAGCTAGCAAACCAGTTGCGGTGATAAAGAAGGAGCCTTTGAGCAGTGTTGCAGTAAAACAAGAACCAGCTAAAGTGGTAGTGCCGGGGGCAGCTGTCAATCCCACCGTGATCGTAAAAGGGGCTTGCACAGAGCCGGTTATCATCAAGCCAGTGACCCAGTTACCAGTAATCAGTGAAAAGGCCATCCCATGGAATTACGGCCGAGTGACAGTGACGTATAAGGGGAAGGAAGTTAAGGAAGAAGTTTGTGAAACCCATGGGCTGACTCGCTCAGGAAGGTGCTTTGCCCCTGACGAGCTGAGAAAAGCTAAAATTACCAAAGATAATCCAGTACCAGTAAAGAAAGCCGTAACTGAAGAAGAGGCAGAAGAATTCTTGAAGAAGATGAAGGCATAAGATTATTCCATTGTAGAACAGTTGAGGAAGATCCCGGCACAGATCTCATTGCTATCATTATTGATCCATTCGGATGAGCACCGCCGGGCGTTGATGAAGATTCTGAATGAAGCCCATGTTCCTGATAAGATTTCTGTGAACAGTCTAGAGAAAATAGCAAACAAGATTTTCGAGGTCAACAGGGTTACATTTTCTGATGATGAGCTGCCTTTGGAAGGTCACTAAGCATAAATGAGCACTCTACCTCACGGTGAAATGTGAAGTATTCTGTGG